AACGCAGTTGATTTAAGGTAACTTACCGACCAGGTTCATGTGTATTTACTCTGATACGTGTTATACTTTATGGTGTGACCGAGACATTGATCCTACCTGCCACGACAGAAATATATATGGGATTTGAACCTAAACGGTTGGAAACTTAATAACCTAAACATCGATTCATGATTGGTCTAAATCCAACCTTCAGTTAAATTAAGAAATAAGTCCATGTACCTGTATGGTGGGAAATACATTGTGCCAGGTCGTGTTCAATGACGAATCATGTTGGAGCAAGATGATAGTCACATACCAATACGACTCAGTTCAGTTGTCAATGACTTCATGGATTTGTGCCACGTTTAGGTTTGAACGCCCCTGGCTTCCTTCCAGCCTAACACTACATCAGACAACATTACTCGTCCAGGTAGCAAGTGGCTAGGCATATGTAACACATATCTCAACCACCTCAACTAATGCAGATTCACTACTTCATCAATCGATTTGTCATCCTGATCTGGTAACCTTTTCCCAACACCAGCATTGCTTACTCGATGGCGCCAGGCTATACGAACAATGCTTCGAAGACGCCTACCTATGGTCGAATACTAGTAATCTACGAATATTCTTTAGCCTTGGCGGTTATGTTTCACACCCATAAGGTAAAAAGGAGCAAACTGCTGCACAGCAACCTCATACTACCCTTAGCAGACGCATATCTCGCCAAAACCATAAGTGAAGCAAGTTATCATAAACCAGTCGAGCCTTCCGTATCCCAGCTGAGATTTCATCAGACATCAGTCCATTAGCTCTGATGAGACTCGCAAGTTAAGCACTTACCATACTCAACTATCACCCTGTCACTAGTTCGGGTGCCGATGCAACCCAATCTTGAAGCAACATTTTGCATTTAGAGGGGGAATACCGAACATGCTTGCATTGTTGCTTTGAGGGAAATGACTCGAGAACATTCTTGAGTAAAAATTGTGGTCACTTTACAATCAACTTTGTTTATCGTAATGTAATTAAATACCTGTTTAAGCCATGCTGTGATTTTGGGGACCAGTTGAGTAATGTAATTTTCGAATAATACTAACTGATGAGTAGTAGCTGGGTCGTATAAGAGATCTTAAACAAAAGAATATATCTTTAGAGCTTTAGAATCTTGAGTCAGGCAGCAAGCCATTCGTAACACAGGATCAGTATGCAACGATTGCTACACTTCATATTAGCAGAAAAAGAAAAAATCACCAAGCTATGTTGAAAACAATCGAAATTCAAGCACCAAGAAATGATATCGAAGTATGGAAAGTGGCGAATGATACAAACTTTAAAGATAGAAAATGAATGTAACTGAATGATAGGAACCTATTTTGCACCATGTTACTAATCTATAATGGTCCGTTATAGGGATGGGTTTTATAGTCCTGCTAGTAAACCATTGGAAGCCATTCAAATTGTTCCAATCGTATGAAACTGCTATCAGTTTGTCTTTTAATCTGAAACTACACTAATAGGATAGCATATGAATGCTTTAACATAATTCATTTTTTAAAAAGGAGGTGAATAAGATTATTTTGATGTAATCACAATCCACTGATAAGTGTGTCTGAGAATTTTATCAACATTTTGAGAACTATGCATACATTTGTGTATGCACCTCTAGGAGAATGTCGATATAAAATCAGCCCTATTGTTTCAATCTAAAAGTGGGATTAGACAGGGTTACTATATCTCAGTATTCGTTTTGAGTTTTGCAACAGATGACATTCTGGAAACAGCTCTGAATGAAATATGAAAAAGAGGTGTGAATCGATTCCCAAGATAAATACTTTAGATTTGGAGTAGGCAGATAGGCTTTACAGTCATTAAACACAGGTTATTCAAACCATAATTAATGAGTTGGCAAACTGTGTCAGAGAGAACATCATGTAATTTGCACCTTAGAAGTGCAAAGAACTCCTGTAGAACTCGCGGGATTGTGTGCAAGCACAGATGTTATGACGAACCGGTGAATATAGTTCAAAACTTCGTGGTCATTTTAGTCTTTGATAGTATACAGGAGCTTGGGTAGGCTCGTAGTGATATGGTAAAGATTAATAAGTACCATTCAAAAGACTTACATATCTAAAATGTGTTGATAATTGGACCTTTCGAACGGGCATCATTAAAGCATCCCGAACAACGACTGATATGTCTGCACCCGAATAACCCGTGGTCATTGTTCCAAGTTCAATAAAATCTTTTTCCGTAAGATCATGATATATGTTTTCCAGATTCGCTTTGAACATACTAACACGTTCGTTTGTTTCAGGAAGGGGAATATATATACGCTTTTCAAAACGACGACGTATAGCCGGATCCAAAGTCCAAGGGGTATTAGTAGCTGCCAATACCAAGACGTTATCATTATTCGAAGAAACACCCTAAAAAACAGTAAGAATCATATATGACAAAAACACGGAAACTTTCCGATCAGAGATATTGAAATACTAAAAGAGCGAACTCAACTTTTGACAGCAATGAACATTTTTAGATTAATCTACACAGCTTCCTACCTTCAATATCACTCTTAAATGGTTTTCGATAAAGAAACCAATAGTATTATTGGTGGACATTAACAGTAACTTAATGTAAAAGAGACTCTAGACTTAGCTAAGATTTGTGCTGATATATGCTAGGATATTTTAAACGTACTGTAGTTGAAAACGAAGCAACCCTAAACCAAACAAGTGGTGTTATTTTCAATGGCAAGATGAATACGTAGGTACGTACAAATAAAATGAAAAATACCCCTACTAATTTATACTCCATCTAAAAGTAAATTTTCCACAACAGTTGGTAAAATAAAAATAAGATACTTATAAGTCTTGGAAAGTATTAGACGTACTTGCATTTGAACTAAAAATTCAGTTTTGATTCGCCTCGTAGACTCGGACTCGTTGTCGTTTCGTGACCCACATAGTGAATCAACCTCATCAATGAAGATTATGCTCGGTTTCTGTTCTCTAGCCATTGCAAAAAGTGATCTCACTAGTTTCTCAGATTCACCGAGCCATTTGCTAACCAAATCTGAGCTTGAAACAGACAAAAATGTTGAATTGTTTGCTTCGGTTGCAACAGCTTTCGCTAAATATGATTTACCAGTTCCAGGTGGCTAAATTTACAAATGAGAATCTTCGTTACTTAGACACCATGAAGCTGCGACTCAAACAAACTAATAACAGTATGCTGAACAAATATTATACAACAATAGAACACTACAGTCAAAAGGCTCCTAACCATGAAGGAAAACAAATAATCTAATTAAGAAAACAAAAACAAAAGTACTAAGAACTCCCTTAGATCCTGAGTTTCGAAATTATTTTGAATATCTTAACCAGCGAATTCTTTCGTCATGCATCAGAGTTTTTATATAATCTTTGTTTAAATAATAGTAATCATCATCATTACTACTACAAATACTACTAAAACTTTGGCTTTAAATTTGATAATTTCAGTATGATATATATACTTGGAATGTATGGACGTATCAGGATCCATGTCAGTTATAACTAGCTAACAGGATAAAAAATAAGAGCGCATTTAGACATCAGTTTTGGCTTCTAAACTTAAAGAAGGATAAAAACCAAGATCAAAAAATACGTTTGATTAAATGGAAATAATCCGATATATGCAAATTGGTTGAATGCTAGCATACGCACTTCTTCAGCTTTATGAAAGGAAGCTTTTACGATATGTGTATACAGTAGTAATGTACTTCCAGTGCTATCAACGTTCATTTCTATAATAGATCTTGAACGATTATCCACAAGTACATCAGGACTAAAATTAGTTTTAAAAAAAGCGAAAAAAGTATTATTCATATTCAATTGTAAAACAAAAACAATATGAATCGAAACTATTGAAACTGATGTCACGTTTGTTGACTAAAATAAATTTACTGTTCACTGAAAATACAAATTTTGCAGGAAAAAACATTTTCTCAAAGTTAATTATAGAGGATTCGAATTCCTTTAATGCTATTCAATGGAAGCATTCTGAAACCAGTACGTGTAACATTGAAGTAGCAAAAAAGCACGTTAGAACGAAAACTTTTACAGAAAGTAAGGTTAGTAGAGCAATCAGTTACAACACAGAAAACGGTACATACGTACACAAGTCCAAGTTGCCATACCACATTAGCACAGAGACAAATAAATTCGTCAATTCAAATCGCATAGTAGTAGAGGTAGTACAAGTGTTGGCAGTAATGGAGAAAATTAGGGTTCGAGAAGCATAATCCAGTGAAATAAATTTAAAAAGAGAAAAAACGATCATGAGAGATCCAGAAGATTAGAATTTCAGAGAACACAAAGAAAGGACGCATCTGCATCATTGCAAACGATTTCCAGCCATATCATTCAAAGTCTCCAACCACTGGTTACGATAGCTTCGCGGACTCCAACTAGGTAGTCTACATCTACCAACATGGTTCAATTCAGTTGAGTTTGGACGCCCCTGGCTTCTTTCTAGCCTATCCACTACATCAGACAGACAGATACAACCCAGAACTTTGTACATAAGTACATCAGTTCAGGTTGCCATACCACGTCAGCACAGAGAATCAACTGTCAGTTCAAATCCAAGAGTGAGGGCGATAGTAGAATTATTAGCAGCGATGGAGAATATTAGGGAGCGAAGATATGATATAATTCAGTGAGATAAATTTAGAAGGAGAAAGATAGAGATTATGAGGAATTCAGCAAGAATTAGAGAGAACACAAAGAGTGGATGCACCTGTGCCATTGCAAACGATTTTGGGCCATGTCGTTCAAGGTCTCTAACCATCGGTGACTTTCGTCTCGCGGATCCCAACCACATAACCTACAACTACCAACATGACTCAGTCCACTTGTCAGTGCCTTCATACATTTCTGCCATGTTTTGGTCTGGCCACCCCTAACTTTTTTCCAGCCTATTCCTACACCACAAAACATATATCGTCGAGGCAGTCGATGATTAGGCATACGTAACACATGTACCAACCACACCAACTGATGAAGTTTCACTACTTCATCTATTGATCTGCCATTCTTACCTAGCACCCGTTTCCTAACGACAGCATTGCTTATACGGTTGTCCCATGATACACGAGCAAAGTTTCGGATGCACCTATGATCGAAGACTAGTAACCTACCTATGACCTCTACTCTTAACGGCCATGTTTCGCATCCGTATAGTAGGACAGAGCGAACTGCTGAAAGTACACTCGTCCTTTGGTTAACAAGCGGATATCTCGCCTGTTCCATGACGTAGTTTGACAAAAGCCAATCTAGCCTTCTGTATCCGAGCTGAGATTTCGTCAGTCACCAGGCCATCCGCACTGATGAGACTCATGAGAAAAGTGAAGCGGTCTACACGCTCGACTACTTCACTCACTATCACGAGTTCAGGTGCCGATGAAACCCAGTCTTGAAGCAACATTTTGCATTTCGACGGGGAAAATTCGCATCCCGAACATGCTTGCATTGTTGCTTAGGATGGTCAGAAGACTCTGCATTTTGTCAGAGTCTTCACCAAGTAGGACTATGTCATCAGCATATTCTAAGTCGATAAGCGAACCTCCTGGTAAAAGGTCTACTTCTGAAAATTCAGACGAAGATAAGATTATATCTATGAGCATGTCTACGATAAAATTTAACAAGAATGGAGAAAGTGGACAGCCCTGACGGACACCACTTGAAGTAAAGAATTCCGGTGATAGTTCGCCATAAGCCCTCTCTAGTCTGTTCTTCACGAGCTTTCGTTAAGCGTCGAAGTATTATTGAGGCCAATATTTTAGATACTATATTAGTTAGACTGATTCCCCTGTGATTGTCACAAGAAGACTTGTGTCCTTTATTATAGATTGGGACAATCAGTGATTGAGACCACTCGGATGGGATTACGTCCAGTTCCCAGATTCTACCTCAGATCTCAGTCAACCTTAAATATCTCAGGGGTCACAGTCTATCAGGACCTGCAGCTCACCCTAGCTTCAGATTTCCTAACGCATTCTCAACTTCATAAAGACTAGGGGGACTTACGTCAACTTGCCATTCAGGATGACTGGAGATCGTGGGTAACCGAAGAGTGGCTCGAGGCCAGTTGAACTGATCCCTAAAGTGTTCTGCCCATCGATCCAGTCTCCTAGATTGAGAATAAATAATAATACCATCCTTTTCCAAGATAGTCTCACTCACAATTAGGTTTCCCTGATAAGTCGGTACAACTGTCTGTTGTTGTCTATCGCCGCTGTCTTTTCGATCGCTTTTGCTTTCGCCACCCATCACTGTTCACGGTCGCTACGTAGGCTTTTATCCTGGACGTAGCTGATACCTTGACGCGATGGTCGGGCTTGCCTATCGTGATGACCCAACCGAGCTATACTGGCTGGAACATATGTTATTGAAGGTTCTACTATGCCAAACAGGTCGATTGGAGAACGATGAGACTAAAAACAGCTACTCAAGGTCTAAGGGCGAAGTCGTACTGCTGACTGTAGAGGGGTGTGACAGCAGTAAGGTGTTTCCCTTGGACAACCGGCATTTGCAGCGATGCTGCCTTCTCGCAAGGAAGGAGGGGTTAGAAAATGTCAGACTTCACCCTACCTCACGGATTTCCGTCTCCGGCGGAAGGGTGCCCACTAAGGGCTTTTAAGAGCGGAGCTAATACTCAAAAAACCTTTCATAATAAGGTCGTGCGTGACCGGCCTCAAGCAGTTGTCCCCTGGGATCTGCGGTCGCGCACCCAGGTCTCTAAGACTAACTATTAATCTACTTTCCTTTTCAGGTGGAATACCGCATTTCGAACATGCTTGCATTGTTGCTTAGGGTGGTCAGAAGACCGCATTTTGACAGCATTTTCACCAAACAGAACTATGTCATCGGCATATTGTAAGTCAATAAGCTGCTTTCTCTCGTTTCAGATTTCGTATAGCCTTCTCAACTTCATAAAGACTCAGAGTACTTACATCGACTTGCCATTCAGGATGACCGGAGATCGAAATTAACCGAAGTGTCCATGAATAAATCCAAAATAAACATATTTATCAAGCGAGTATTGGGGATCTAACGTCCCAACACTCCTCCACTTTTTAATAGCGTGAGCTCCTGGGGTCGACTTCCATCTTGACTGTCGTTCGCCGCTCTCTGAGAGGATACATTCTGGAACAGAGACCAGTTTGTGCAGAGTTTCTTCTCGTGGTGAGACTGTCGGTAGGTTGACAGTATCAAGCAGAATGTCAAGGGGAAGATTTTCTGCTCTTGATAGACGATCTGGGGCTAGCCATTTGCGTATCTGATTTTGATGGCGTGACCACCTTTCGCCTCATACCCCTACTTCGTACATAACTCAACCAAATCTTCTGACCACTCGCGCTTCTACCCAAAGACCATAGTTTGTTCTGTAGTCACCGGTAAACACCGGACATCCCACTTCCTATGTGGATTGCCTTTGCGGCTTTGTCTCTACTGATGTTGGTGCATTAGTCGGATGCATCAGGCTGCTGATCGTTTTCAGTCTTCTTCCCATCAGCATTTCTGCTGGGGACTTTTGCTGTTCGATAAACGTACAAGAAATTTTGTAACGCGTCGGCCAATGTCCCCTCCCCTTCTGACATAGCCAATGCTCTTTTAAACGTATCCACAAACCTTTCCGCTTCCCCATTCCGTTGCGGATGGTATGGTGGCGAGCGTAAGTGTTTAATGGCTAACCGTTGGCAGAAAGTTTGAAATTGGGTAGAGGTAAATTGAGATCCATTGTCAGATACGATCACATCAGATACACATCACATCGCACATTTCGAGAGAAAATTTCGATGAGGAGCTATATTGTCTTAGTTGTCGTGGGCGGCATTACGGGATTGATTTCTGGCCATTTTGAGAAGTCAGTCAGTCAGTCAGTCGCAACGTGGAACTTCGTACGTATTTTGAGAAGGCGTCGACCACAATTAAATACACAATTCAATTGATTTGACCAGCGAAATCAACGTGTATCTTAGACCAAGGATGATCAGGTTTGGGCCATAAAACCGGCGGAACTTTGGCATTCATCTTTGCCGCCTGCTGACACCGCATGCATTTTTCAACCAACGCTGTGATATGTTGATCCATGAGAGGTTAGTATGCACAACTCATGGACTTCATTCGTTTAACTCCTGGATGACCAAGAAGGAACTGTCTCAGCACTTTTGCACGAAGGAATTCTGGAACCACCTTTCTTCCCCCAAACATCAAACAGTCGTTCACGATGCATAGTGAATCCCGCCGCTGATACAGCTGCTTCATGTCACCATCAAACTTCTTCGAGGGCCAACCGTTGATGACGTATTTCATCGTCATCTTGACAACGGAGTCGTTTCTTCCTTCCGAGTCCTTACTGTCCCGTTTAGTCGAACAGCGCACAAGCGACTGTCTAAGAGAGCTACTTCTGCTTTAATACTAACTCTACACCAGCAAAGCCGTGAGAAGCGACACTGAGGCTTCCAGATACACGAAGCGTAAATCGAGATGGTTCTTTATTTTGACATGATGAGTTCAAATGAATGACTCTACTCGAACCCCACAAGCGCGCTTCGGAGATGAAGCACACATCAATGGCACGAGATTCCACAGTCCTAGCTAGAGATGCCTGTTGTTCGATTTGGCTCAAGGTTTGAACATTAAAAGATTGAACATGTAGTTTAGAGTATGGTTTCAGGTGATCAGGAATTGCGTTTCGTGTACTCAGACTGTTTGCATCGGCGGCACCAGGTGATTAAGGAATGAAAGAAGGGTTACTAGTAGAGGTAAGGTATTTACTAGGAGGTGTGGGAAAAATTTTATTAGGACCGATTTGATCTTTTGTAGTGTTACGGGTGAGGGCGGATGTCATTCCCGGCTCCCAACACCGTGGAATGATATTTCTTTAGGAGCATGAAAAGGAAATTAGATAAGCATTGGTCTTAGCGACCTGAGAGGGTGACTGCAGAGCGCAAGGGACAATTGCTTGAGGCCGGTCACGCACGACCTTTTTGTCAGGAATTTTAAAGATGTTAGCTCGGCTCTTAGAAATGCCTTACCGCCGGAGGCGGAAGTCCGTGGGGTGACGTGAAGTTTGACATTTTCAGGGTCGAATTTTCCTATTCTCGTCTTTCTGTTGTAAATAGGCAGCACTGGCGCAGATGCTTCTGACACAACTCTCTACAGTCACCAGTACGACTTCGTCCTCAGACCTTAAGTTGTTGCTGTTAGCCTTAATGTTTTCCAACCGATCCACCTAGCATGATAGGACCTAAGATAACTTTGTGTAGCGGACAATATAGCTTCGTTCGGTAGGGAAGCCCGACCACCACATCAAGGTAGCAGCCACGGTCCAGTCTAGTAGAAACAATAGCTAAGACAGAACAGTTGCTACTTCACAATAATCCGATACAAATATATATTCCCCTCATTTTCTAGTCCATATCTACTGCTGATTTTTAACCACAGCTTTTAGTTGACATAAACCAGTCCGTATACAAATGAAATTCATTTACAAAAAAGCTAGTAAATACAATAAACACCTAAAACTAGTCATGTCAGTTACCCTTTCTTCATATTCCAGCTCAGATTTTAAGACCATCAGCACTTTCCACCAACCAGTGTAAAACTTAAATATGTAGATAATGCAATCTAATAATATTAAAAATAATCCAAATAGATGTAAACGCTTCAACTTATTCAGTAACAAGATACTCAATGCACAATTCGTTGCAGTTAGTAATTGAAAAGCAAATATTGGGTAGCTAAACTGCAGGTTGATGAGTAAATTGTTCTTGGTCCAGGTACAGGAACTTATTGGTGTTTGCATTTTCATGAAGAATTACTTTATGTTGGAAGCTGTTGAACTTGAGAAATTACTCTTGTCAGGAAAGCAGTAGACCATCAAAAAATTAAGATGCTAAACGCACAGGAAAATAAATGTTGCTGTATCGCTTATTGTAAAAACCAAGCAACAATGGAATACCGAGACGATACAACGATTAAGTGAAACTTCACAGACAACGAAAATATTCACTTTGCTGTAAGCTTAAGTGTTGTAAGGAAATGAATTAACAGTTGGAATTTATAAGATAAGCATAATATACAGTTATAGATTGAATGGTGAGGTTCAGAATCAAACGCAGTGCTCCAATTCTATATTCTTCTTATCTATGAGCAACAAACATAATATTATGGAATACTTCTCACCGACTAATTTTATCCTTTTTACTAAATTTAATTTTTTTCCTTACTTTAGTTTTCAACTAGTATTGATAATATTTATTGTTATGCCTTCGATTTTGCCCTTGCTGATCTTACTTGGGTGTGTAACCTGGAGTGATAAGCTTCTGGATCAAACTCCATGTTGTCTTTATCTTTGTCTGGTTACATACAAAATGTAACTAACTACCGAAGTATTTAAACTTCGGAGAGAAAACGCTTACCTTGGACTGATGAAATCTGAAACAACACTTGTGAGTGATCTGAGCATCATGAGTGAGGTGAAAGAGGTTCACCTACACTTATTTGGTCAGCCTAGATAACTTCAGCGTCTAGATCTGACAAAACACTGATACAGATCACTCATAATGAACTGATTTTAATAAGTTTATTTACTCTGATAGTCAAGTTTTGAACAGATTCAACTGAGTAGAGTTTACTGGTGATGAATCAGTGATTTACTGTATGAGTACAATCTACAAAAAAACACTATCTAAATTTTGAAACCAACAAATAGGGTTGGCTAGCTGAATTGTATCTTTGCTTCAACGTGATAACAAACTGACATTTCCGATGCTCGTAAAAGTGCAGGTTGTTGATAAATATCTGAAAGTATCGTAGTTGCAAAACAACCGTGCATTCTATAAGATTAAACAACTTCAATATCAGTATTCAACGACTGGGTGATGTGCCTAAATGTCATTTCATACATTTTCATCTGAATAGCCGGAAAATACCTTTCATCTTATAGAAAAATACATGCTAGGTATTCATTACTTTAATCTAATATTTGGAAGCAACTTTTGAGCGAGGCGTTAACATTGGAAAATTTTAAGTGAGATTTGTATAAGTGGTACGACTTACTCCGTATAAGAGAATCCCTCTCCAAGGAGTACGCTTTCCAGTGAACAAATGTGGGAATTTTATAGGTAAAATTACTGCTTCTTTTAAGGCTTCTTTTGCTGACTGTAACCCAATGACATCACTCCACCTGATATTAGGTTTTTCCGTCACTATCGCTCCTTGCAACTGCATTTGAAAACGTGAGCTTTCACCGTCTTCTTTATCTGAATCATCTCTTTTTTTTTCTCTTGTACCACCAGAGTTTGCCTCCTATTAAAAAGATGAGCCTAACATGACGTACAAACTAGGGAATTAATCAAGACACAAGTACTGAATGATATTTATGAGTACGATTGTTAGCACTTTTAAATAAATACATATGTATCTGCAATTTCTGCAAAATAAATTGGTATAAAAGGTTAGTCCCAATGGATTTACGAAGTATTATTCTAATTCTGTTGGCAAGGGGCACCTGTGTTTATAAGGAATAAATTATTTGTTATTTTTGCTGCAAAATACTTGAGACACCTTGCGACGTTGCATAAACCTCATACCAATGGATGCAAAGAGATGATCATTGAAATTATTCCAGAATCACTAGAGACTGAAGTTTTTTAGCACCCAACGCGTACATTGCTTGTCGAATTATGTGTTATGAAATCGTTATTATCCTAAACAGTTAGCATCCACATGGTCAGTAAATATCAACATTGAACCTTCAAGTAAAGTTACTGGTGTCAACACATAAGGACGTAATAGTGACACAGTGTCCTAACACTACTCTGATCTTTGGGGATCTTATTCAAAGAATAGGAACGTTATTCTGAGACGTCAGCAACTTTGTCTACACAGCGAGCGCTCTGATGCAGAAAAATGCAGACTACTAGTGCAATTGATACTCGAGCGTCGGTCTTAAGAATCTGTTCCAGCGCGGTGTGGTAACTTGAACCAACGAACACTTATGTGAGGTTCAACGTTGTTCATGAATGATGGGGAATATGAAAAACGCTACAAGCACAACCCCATATAAATTATTATACTGCTTACTTCAACTCTAACCTTCAGACCACTAAGAAGCTTGTGTCTAGATTTTCACTGTTTGAATGGTTGTGGTATCTCTTTTGAGATGTCATTGAGCATGATGTCTGACAACTGTGTGAAAACTACTTCAAAAACTTAGCCATTTTGAACGTTTGTGTCAAGTCTTTGGAGTCACAGTATCGATGTTTTTTCAGTTTTAGAGACCTGTATTCAGATACTGAATAAGTGCAAATTGGAAAAGTACGTCTCATGTGTTTTGTACAAGGACCCCTTGACTCTTGGTTCTGCTTTAACTAGTGCTAATGCTACATCCCAAGCATTGCAGAGCAGGTTTGAGCAAATGAATGGACCCAACAAGTGTTTGGAACATATACTGAGAAGCTAGCCTGGAATTTAGATATTATTTCAGGAGTCTAGACAGTCATAGACGATCATAGATTTGATAATGGTATACTAAGGCCAGAATAAAGATGTATTTTAGTTCACATAGTTCATTTGATTCGTTACTCAGTCACCATACTGAGTTATCGGCAACTTCGGGTCTTGTATAACACACCTACCAAACGAAAACAGCTAATACCTGAGAATGAAAAACATGTAAATGTTATAGCTAGTTTTAATGGCGTTTAGGATATCTCATCGAAAGTTGCCTGTAGAGCTTAAGACTTTCCAATTACACGTACGCTTAGGAAGATCAATAAGATCCTTGCTGGTGAGAAGAAGGAAGCTTGTACAGCAAAACAGTAGAAGGCATGAAACTTCTGAACTAGGGGTTTTTAAAATTATTGAGCCTACTATGTGCAGTACTTAACACAAAAAATCTAGTGGTATGTACTAGTTAGTCACGAGAATATTAGGTAACTGACAACCCCGAGCTTTTTGGTGCATTGGAATATAGAACACTGTCGTCAGCATGAAAAAAAATCAGAGAACTGTACGGATTTGAGAAATTTTTCGACAAACACTTGTCAGAATTTCTTCGACGAACCTTTTGCACTAAGGGCTAATTAGAGAACATGCCGGAAAAATACACACACTTTATCATGTACGGTTGACTGTTATGTCGAAAATGAAAGTCCTAGATCCAAAAAATTAGTAAACGTACACTTTTTTCACGAGCCTTTGAGGCCATGTATTTCTTTATTTGCTCCGCCCTGTCAAGGTACCGCGCACAACTAGACTGGATCGATTCTTTAGCCCGATCACTCGGAGCCTCATCTGAAAACAAACTCTGTGGATACCAATAACTTACATTTGATGGCATGAATGAAATATTCAATCGCATGTTCGTACAATCTGAGAGCTTCCGCATAATTTTTCGCCTTATCTTCTGCCGTTGCGCGGGTGACTAACTCAATGCCTTTCTACAAAGATATAGCTCGAACAACCGCGAACAAACTTACATTAAGCGACATCCAAGAATTTGGGAAACCGTGCAAATTACCCTCGCTTAATGGATTGGCAATTTAGCAGTGTACAATTATCAATAACAGAATTAATAGTAAGGTGACATTACTGGATTGAAACTTTCTTAAGTGCCTGAAAGATGAAGTGGATAGTTTTGACGAATGCTTTTTAGTAAAAATTTTGATTCAAATAATTATTTTCTTCACATCTGCGCGAGTAGACTAAACCAGGTGAAAGGAGGGGACAGAAAATACATCAAGACTGAATGTAGTATGAGAAGGACGGACAAGATCGCTGTGTGGTGTTTAAAAAAAATCAGTTAGACGTGAGGAGAAATGTAGGAATAAAAAGGCTGAATCATCAGAAAATCAAAGAATTCCATGTCAGCAAAAATCATAAATGAAGAAAATCAAAAACATACCTTGGCTAGAGAGAATTCTCGACATATTCGTGAACAGCATACGATATCTGCATTGAATAATAATATTATACCTTGTTGTAATCAATAATAAATTTTAATACAGGCGTCGTGTACACAGCCTTTAATGTTCAAGCATTTCCATAACGTTCAATTCTCACTTTTACTCATGTTACCCCCAATGGAACATAGGCCGCCCACCACTTTTCGCCAGAATATTCTCTCGTGGGCTTCCCTTTCCAGTTCTGTCCAATTTTTGTTCATCCTTCTCATATCTTTCTCTATTTCTCGGCGTAATGTGTTCCTTGGCCTTCCTCTTTTCCTTTTGCCTTGAGGGTTCCAGGTGAGGGCTTGTCTCGTGACGCAGTTAGGTGCTTTCCGCAATGTGTGTCCTATCCACTTCCACTGCTTCTCCCTGATTTCCTCCTGCACTGAAATCTGGTTTGTTCTCTCACAAAGTAAGTTGTTGCAGATAGTGTCTGACCAACGATTCAGAAGTATTTTGCGTAGACAACTGTTAATAAACACTTGTATCTTCTGGATGATGGCTTTCGTAGTTCGCCAAGTTTCTGCTCCATACAGTAGAACTGTCTTGAAATTTGTATTGAAAATTCTGATTTTGGTTTTGGTTGAAAGATGTTTGGAGTTCCAGATATTTTTCAACTGTAGAAATGCAGCCTTCGCTTCGCCAATCCGCGCCATCACATCTGCATCGGATCCACCTTTCTCGTCGATGATGTTGCCCAGATTTGTAAAGGTGTTAACGTCCTCCAAGGCATCTCCATCAACAGTGATTTGGTTGATGCATGCTGTGTTGCATCGGAGAATTTAGCTTTTTCCTTTATGCATGTTGAGACCTACTGTTGCAGAGTCTGCTGCTCCACTGGTCGTCTTCTCTTGCTTTTGTCGTTGCGTGTGCAATAGAAGAGCCAGGTCACCTGCGAAGTTCAGAACGTCCAGCAATGCTTCCCTCCGTATGCTGACGTCTTCATAATCCACTCGATCACCAGGAAAAAGAAAAAGTGTGAGAGTAAGCAACCTTGCCTCACACCGGTCTTCACCTCGAACGAATCTGTCAGCTGTCCTCCGTGTACGATTTTGCAGTTGAATCCATAATAACTATCTTCTCCATAGTGTTTTCCTATCCACGCTATCAAATGCTTTCTCGTAGTCGATGAAGTTGATGTACAGTGGTGAGTTCCATTCAAGTGATTGTTCAACAATGATCTGTGATGTAGCAATTTGGTCAGTACACGATCGATCCTTACAAAATCCAGCCTGTCGATCTCGAAGTTGTGTGTCCACGAAGTCTTTCATTCTATTTAACAATACCCTGTTGAAGACTTTGCCTAGTATTGAAAGAAGAGTGATGCCTCTGTAGTTCTCACACTTGCTGAGATCGTCTTTCTTTGGTATTTTGATGAGGTATCCTTCTTTCCAATCTGATAGTACTTGTTCCTCATCCGAAATCTCCTTGAAGAGGATGTGAAATATTTTCGCAGCTGCTTCCACATCTGCTTTCATTGTCTCTGCTGGAATGTTGACTGCTCCTGCAGATTTGGCGCTCTTGATTTGTCTGATGGCCATACTGATCTCTTCAGTTGTAGGTGCGCCAACATCGATTGGGAGGTCCTTAGATGCTGCATCGATGTTGGGTGGGTTCAGTGGAGCTGGTCAGTTCATGAGTTCCTCAAAGTGCTCTAACCACCTATTTCGCTGTTATTTCAGTGTTGCCGATTACTTTGACTTCCTCGCTTTTCACTGATCGTTCTGGTTTACGATAGATTCCAGCGAGCTTCTTTGTTGTTTTGTACAATTGTCTCAAGTTTCCGTCTCTTACAGCCTTTTCCGCCGTCATTGCTAGATCTTCCACATATTTTCGTTTGTCGGCTCTGATGTTCTTCTTCACTTCCCTGTTTGCTTCTGTGTATTCAGCTTGTGCCTTAACTTACCCTGATTCTGTTTGGCTGACATTGATTGCTGCCTTCTCGTTGCTCCTTTCTTCAATTTATGCAGGAGTACCAACAGAGATCCATTCCTTTTGATGGTGCTTCTTGTGGCCTAGAACCTCCTGACATGTTGAAATGATTGCCTCCTTGATCCCATCCTAATTATCCTCATGAATGTTTTTCCTGCACTGAGTATATCGTGCAACGCCTGGAACCTATTGGTGACGGTTATCTTGAATTCGTTGAGTTTTACAGTATCCCGAAGAAAGGCTGTATTGAACTTGTGTGATTTTGTCTGACCCGTTATCCAGTGTTTCTTGAGTTTCAGTTTTATTTTAGCGACCAGCAAGTGGTGGTCTGAGGCTACATCAGATCCCCTTTTGGTTCCCACATCTTCAATGGTCCTTCTGAACTTTTTGTTGATACAGATATGGTCAATTAAGTTCTGGGTAGTGTGAACCGGTGCATCTAAGGATCATGCGCTTCCTCTTGCGTGTGTTGATACCGACTGCTGCATGGGATCCTGTTACACCGGCCGTCTTCATCTTCACTTATCGAAGCGTATAAGACAGAAAAGCTAGATCATTTGCAAAGTCCATATCATCCAGCTGCATCCGAGCTGTCCTCTGTATGACGTGTTTCTCATCACAAGTTGACGTCTTAATAAACCTTTCGACTACTACCGATTCTTTCCATTGTAGACTAGTCACCAGACTGCGAGGGCCTAATTTGCTAATTCGACGTTGAGTGAGTTCAGTGAGGCTGGTCGATTCAAAGGTTCTTCTAAATGCTCTACACACCTGTTTCGCTGTTCTTGAGTGTTGACGATTGGTTCAACTTCTTTGTCATTGACTGGTTGTCCTAGTTTGCCGTTTATTCGAGCGAGCTTCTTCGTCTTATCATATAGCTGTCTCATGTTTCCTACTCTTGCATCTTCCTCTCCTATCGTTGGTAGATATTCCACATATTTGCGTTAGTCAGCTGTGATGCTCCTCTCCACTTGCTTGTTTGCTCCTGTGTATTCATCTTGTGCCTCGGCCTTCTCTGCTCTTGTTCAAGTGATGTTGATTGCAGCCTTCTTGTTTCTCCTTCCGTGAGTCTTATCCAGAGTATGAACAAAGATGCAGATATGGTCTATTTGATGATGTATAGTGTGTAGGAATATGGTGCTGTCTATGACCAGTTTATTGAAGGCGAATAGATTTACGAATTTCTCACCATTTTCTTTCCCTTCTCCCAACAATGCCGTTTCATGATGTCCTCTTACTCGATATTGCCTAATTCATTTTTTTCAGCCTTTTTTTATCATGTAACAGACGTTAGTAGTTATCATGGAACTAAAATATTATTTCAATGCAGTGTTATTAGCCCTAAACCTATACATGGTAAACTAGAAAGATATTTCAACGAGCAAAAACACTCGGTAATTATTCTGAAACTTGACTGCACCATGCATGACCATTATTGATCGAACTATTAAGATGACTGAGAGTAGAAACTGGTGGTATTTAATACCTTTGTGCGAACGTGCTTCCTCAGCTTTCCTAGCTAAGTTCCATGGTAGCGTTAGAAATATTTCTCAAGACGAAAGTCAGCTTTGTGTTGTAAGCCTTCACGATAACCACTCTGTGGAATTAAATAAGATGACTAGATTCAGACTCAGTAGTTGTATTAGGTAAAATGAAGTCCAGGTTAGAAACCCGATTTCTCTTAGGGCACACTAATCAAAAGTTTAAGACCATCTAAATTCTGCTATACTTCTCTTGACTCAGAATTAAATTTTCATTTATCTACTGGTGCAAAGAAACTTAGTAGGTAGAAATCTCTCATATGTATACTTTGGGATATATTTCAAGAGATCTTTTGGTGACTTAATAAGGTAAACTTCTCAAGGTTGTCGTAGATTCGGATAATATGTGTAGAAATTTCCCAAACAGACAATGTGACTGCTTCTTACACCAGCAGTTTACAAAAGTCCCGAACATACCGGCGAAAATATTAAGTTGCTGGCTACTTGAATTGAATCTTTTCAACAATACCGCGCCACGAGATTCTATCTTAGGTTCTCTATGTTGCTGAATTAATAGTTAGAATTCGTATTTTTAGATCAGGTTAAATTTAAGGGGAAAATAAACGCTGGTACGATTCGGCACTAACCACAGGTAAATCGGGCATATAGTCTCAGTGTTAGAGTTGGGTTACTAATTCCTGGAAAAGTAAGCTAACAAATAGCAGTAAACAGAATGTTAGCAGTTAAACTATCATTCTCCTAGTTCAAAAACAGAAGTACATAGAAGCACTTGTGAGTCATCAACTAGAAATAACTGCATATTGGGATGCGATTACGGTTGAAGATTTCCGAACTCTAAGGTTATTTATTGCGGTCCCCAAATCCTTAAACGAAGATACTCCGAAATTCATACTCTAAATATGTTAGGACATAACAAGAATACCCGGACCAATTGGTCATTCCATTTTCGATAAAAGACACCAACTTAATTGTGTTTGACAAGTCAGGACAAATTTAGTGACAGGTCGTTCAAGTACCTTATACATAAAAGTAGTATCGAGCCTATCGAAGAAAATTTTAAAGAGGAGTTGAACTTTCACAGAAGTACTTACTGAAAAAAAATAACCCTGGTTAATTGACCTACAGATCTTATTACTGACAAGAGATTCCATGTACTCTAGCCCGCGGTGTTTGAACGGGTTGGTAGTAGTGCATTTGAAAGAGTAGTGTTTAGACTGACATATGGCACTTTGACAGTTCCCCCTTTTCTCTTCCCATGGATGCCCTAGGTGCATTGGAAAGAAGGGTAATATATACAGAAGCATCTAGTATTGCTGAAGCTATACGACTGAACCAAAAGGTATTGGAGAATACTTACTTATTATTTTAGGTTGTCTTACTAGATTCACGTTCGTTCATGGTATATCATACCAGTCACATACACAATGCTATAAATATAGGCGGCAACAGGGCATTCCAGAGGAAGTTTTCTCAAAATCAGGTTGGTAGTTTGCCTACATCCAAGCATTTTTGGGTAAAGGTCCCATTAGATTTACTTCTATGCAAACTGACAAGCTTTAAAAACCCTGCAGAATTACAAAAGTTGCCCATCGTTGTTTACGATGAGTGTATCGACTCTATACTATATCTAACACCTGAATGCTTCCTGTTTTCTTTATTGACCCAATTGACAAAAAAATTTCCAGTTGTATTTCTCCTCAAAGGTAAGTAAAGAAAGAACTTCTTCAAATGGTTTCTGCATAAGCTTTTAAAATTCCTTTACACCAACGTCATCATTGCGTAGTATAATTTTTTTTTAGCCGTAGTGGTTTTACTAGGTAATTAGTATTAGACGTGATGCAAAGTTGGTCTCTTCGTGTTATCTCAAAAATCTGGTCAGTTTTTCATTAGCTCACACGTGTTATTATTCTGTGCACGAGTTTATCCCACCTAACAATCATTACTCTAGAAAGAGTAGTTTCCAACTTAACGCCTGTATTTGCTAGGTTCTAGATATAATATCTAATATATAACGGATATCTTTGTTACGCACTCATTTTACAATCCTAACTTAATATAGATGAGTGTCATCATATGGGAAAGTATGGAGCACGTTGATACAAGTTCAAAGCTGGCAGATAACTAGGATTTTTTGCTCGCTGGATGTGATGCAAATATATTTCTCCCAAAACCTGAACTACTGTGGACTCAAAATAAGCTTCGAACACTGGTGATAATTGATATTGTATTTACGTTTGACCATTTCTACTTCGTCTGTGTCCCTAAAAACATTGTGGATCACACCGTGCCGGTAGAACAGGGTCAGACTGGTATGATTTGTTAAGAATCTGCCGAAGACATAGTTCAATGAGGTGAGGACGCTGACAAAATGCAGTCTTCTGACCACCCTGAGCAACAATGCAATCAAGTTCGGGATGCGGATTTTCTCCGTCGAAATGCAAAATGTTGCTTCAAGATTGGGTTGCATAGACAACTGAACTAGTGATAGTGAGTGAAGCAGTTGAGCGTGTTGACGGCTTCACTTATCTCATGAGTCTCATCAGTGAGGTTGGCCTGGTGACTGACAAAATCTCAGCACAGATACAGAAAGCTCGATTTGCTTTTGCCAACGTACGTCGTTTATGGGGAAGGCAAGATATCCGGTTGCTGACTAAAGGACGAGTGTACTGTGCAGTAGTTCGCTCCGTCCTACTTTATGGCTGTGAGACATGGCCAGTCAGAGTAGAAGATATTTGTGGGTTACTTGTTTTCGATCATAGGTGTCTCCGAAGCAGCGTTTGATTATCGTGGGACAACCGTATAAGCAATACTGTTGTTAGGAAACGGGTGCTAAGTAAGAATTTCAGATCAATAGATGATGCATTGAAACTTCATCAGTTGAGGTGGTTGGGACATGTGATGCGTATGCCTAACCACCGATTGCCTCGTCGAGCTATGCTCTGTGGTGTGGGAATAGGCTATAAGAAAGGTAGGGGCGGCCAAACCAAAACATGGCAAAAATCCATGAAGTCACTAACAAAACTAAACAGTTTTTCACTCGCTGTGTGATTTTTGTTAGAGGTTGACAAACCATCCATTACCTTAAACTTTTATTTATTGGAGTATTTTTCTACTTAAATCAATTTACTCAGTAAGTCAGTTACAACGTAGAATTTTGTACATTTTGCATTTCGAGGGAGAAAACCGCACCCCAAAACGGCATATGAATTTTTGGTTAGTCAATCTGTCATTGGACTGCCTCTCCTAACTTTGCTTCTCTAACTTGTGTATTAGACCTCCAAGTCAAAGACTTTGTTATCCTAAGGAAACCACCTGTTAGAGACCTTGAACGACATGTCTCAAAATCGTTTGCAATGGCGCAAGTGCATCCATTCTTTGAGCTGTTTCAAATCCTAATCTTCTGGATTCGTCAGCACCTCTACCTTTTTCTTCCTAACCTTATCTCACTGAATTATACTTCTTGAATAATATCTTCGAACCCTAGTGTTAGTGGGACATAGATGGAATTAAAGCATTACAACAGAACCGTTACAACAGTGGCGACGAGGAAAAAGAAAAAAATTCAAGATGCCTATTTCAGATGATCAGCTTCACCGAATACTACAACAACAGCAAGCTCAATTAGATGCACGAATGAGGTTGTTGGAGACCCTAACTCAACAGCTATACACCCAGTGTTCGAGTCCACATACTATTCTAAATATGTCTTGTGAAGCAGTGGCAAACAGCATACCAGAATTCGTCTATAATTTTGAATGTGGAAATAATTTTCTGACGTGGTTCAAACGTTGGGAAGATACATTTAGAATTGAATTCGGTAAACAAGACGATTCTTGGAAGACTCGATTGTTGGTGCGTAAGTTGGGAAGTAATGAGTATGCACGTGACGCTGACCACATACTACCGAAGTTACCTCGAGAGCTCAGTTTATAGGAGACAGTAATTCAGCTGTCAGAGATTTTCGGTGAATCATCGTCATTGTTTAGTATTAGATATCAGTGTCTAAATCTGGTGAAACACAAAGATGATGAATATGCGGCCCTTGCAGACATCGTCAACAGAGAATGTGAATGGTTCAATATACGCTCGTTGACCGAAGACCAGTTTAAATGCTTAATATTCACCAAAGCTCTTCAGTCACCGCAAGGTGCTGAGATCAGAACTAGACCTTTGCTTCGACTGGATCAAGACCCGAACGTCACACTCAGAACGTTGACAGAGGAGTGTAAACAACTACAAAGTATCAGAAACGATAACATGTTGATTGAACCGGTTAAAAGTTCAGAAGCCGAAAACATCTTGTAACAAACCAACGACGGCATGTTGGTTATGTGGTGATTGGCACTACGTACGGTTCTGTCCATTTAAAAAACAAATGTCAGATGTGCAACAAACGTGGACATAAAGAAGGCCATTGTCAACCAAATCGTACGTCTCAGCCCAGGAGAAACCACAAACGTACTCGACATGTGGTGAAATTAGCCGAGTCTTAATCACTTTCTCTGGTGGCTGCTTTCCAAACAGACTATGACGTTCGGAGAAAGTATGTTATTATACAGATCAAAGGTGCATCAGCTCGTTTTCAAATCGACACGACATCAGATATCACCTTAATGTCTAGAGAAACGTATAACTTGCTGGGAAAACCGCCAATGAATCCATCTAAGAAAACAGCTAAAAGCGCTTCAGGTAGTGTGTTAAAACCGGTTGGGGAGTTCCAGTGTGAATTTTCCTTCAACGGAACAAAATGTACAGGAATATGCTATCTGACAGAACGGCCAAACCTTGATCTTCTTGGTCTAGATATGCTAGAAAAGCTGGGAATAATGGATTTACCCATTAACAGTGTCTGCAGCGTATCGTGTTCATCAGTGGACACCCCTATGTTTACAAAGAAGACAGGTGAAAGATCACAATATAAACGGAAGAGGAAGTCAGCCTCTGTTTTTCAGAATAGCCTTAGCCGCTGTACGAATATGAAATCAGATGTCAAACCTGTTTCACGTCCGAGACGCCCTATACCATATGCTGTTCATGAGCCTCGACAAAACTTATCGATGGGGAAGCAGCCCAATCGACGGTTGTTTAAAGATATGGTTTCTACAAAGCAGGCGGCTCGTAAGAGTACGGGTGGCAAGGCACCCAAGAAGCAGTTGGACTCTAGCACCAGATCCTACGTATTTTCTCAAAGGGGAGGTGTTAGTGGGACATGGAATTAAAGCATGACTACGTTGCTACGCGCTGATTGGCTAATTTCCTGTCCAATCAGCGCCTGATCGATTCTTGGAGAACAGGGTAGAAAATTCTCGTATTGTTAGCTGCGTGCTGATTGGTTAAATCTAATTCATTCGATCACGTGAATTTCTATCCAGAAGCTTCTCATGTAAATGCTATAAGTAAACTAACGTTGTATCTATTTTTGCCTTCGCCTTCGGCTCTTATTCCATTTAACCTTTTCTATTTGGAATATAATCTTCCCCTGTTCAACCGTGTTTTGATTCTTGGGAACTTGTCCAGTGTATTGTGGTCAGAGAATACTAAGCAATAGGATTTAGCCGGGAATTATCTAAGCAAGCGTTACAACACCTAGTCTTCTTCATTGCCATTAATACCTCTACTATCTTTTTCACTATGGGATTTGATTTGACATCTGCGTCTCTGTGCTAATGTGGTGTGGCAACCTGAACTTATGTCCGTACGTACGTAGTTCCACGTTGCAACTGACTGACCTGTTTCGGTTTGTGCGCGTGCGTTTTATCCCAGCACACAAATTCTGTTTGTGACCCATGTATACTTCAGTTCCCCTTTTATACCGATATTTACCTAATAATATCAATAATCTGTTGTCTGGGAAAGTATTTTTCTACCTTGAATGTGCGGGTAACATCTTCGCGTGAGATAATAACCAAGCGATGCAATGCACACTTAATCAGCTCGCACTCTATGTCCATATGAATGGCTTGCACTTTGCGCCTTCTATATCTAAAGTACCTCTAAAAGATTGGCAGGAATCTGTGCCTCAAATCACTCTTGGTAGTGAGCAGTTTGAAGTAGTCCAGAAGTTTCTGTTTCTGAATGACGCTGTGTAGTGTTAATTGTGGCGTGAATGATGAGATCGACTCAAATAAAATGAAAACCAGAGCGGCTATGCCAATCTGGGCTATCTTTGGCGCCTACATGATGCTAGTCTGGTCTGGTCCACAATGTGTCAGTAAGAAAGGCTTTACTTGGTCCTTGTGAGACTTGGTCTCTCCGAATTAAGGATGTTAAACTACTCTGTTTGATCATTCTTGTATCCGAAGGATTGCTGACATTCTGTGGCAACAACGTGTTAGTAATGCTGGGGTTTGGCAACATGTGTTCTGGTACACTGACGACAATTTGACCGGTGTTACCATTTTGAAGCACCAGCTGCAGTGACTTGGATATGTTCTACGGACGTTGACGCAGTGAATTCCAAATGGTGCACCATCTGTGGACGCTGGCACTGGTTGGAAAAAGCAGAGATTTGGTTAGCATCCGACATGTTTCCATAGTATGACAGAGAGTTGTACAAAATTTGCATATGTCTGTCCTTCAAGACTCTGTGGTTAGGTTCCTAACAAAGGTACAACACATGGGCTTTAGACATTGTCGATCGTCTCTCCGAATAAAAAGTCAGTGGTGGTCGTACTGCAATGTTCTTCACATAAATGACAGACAGAGAGACAGATACAACGCAGAACTTCGTACGTAAGTACATCAGTTCAGGTTGCCATGCCCCATCAGCACAGAGACGCAACTGTCAGTTCAAATCCAAGAGGGATAGCAATAATAGAAGTATTAGCAGTAATGGAGATTAGGGAGCGAAGATATGATTCGAGAAGTATAATTCAGTAAGATAAATTTAGAAGGAGAAAGCCAGAGATTATGAGGAATGCAGAAGCTTAGAATTTCATAGAACACAAAGAGTGGATACACCTGCGCCATTGCAAACGATTTTGAGTCATGTTGTTCAAGGTCTCTAACCATCCACGTAGCCTACAACTACCAACATGACTCAGTCCACTTGTCAATGACTTCATGGAACTCTGCCATATCTCGCCTACACCATAAACGACGTACATTGGCAAAAGCAAATCGAGCTTTCTGTATCCGTGCTGAGATTTCATCAGTCACCAGGCCATCCTCACTGATGAGACTCATGAGATAAGTGAAGCGGTCTACACGCTCGACTACTTCACTCACTATCACTAGTTCGGTTGTCTATGCATCCCAATCTTGAAGCAACATTTTGCATTTCGAGGGAGAAAACCGCATCCCGAATATACTTGCATTGTTGCTTAGGGTAGTCAGAAGACTCTGCATTTTGTCAGAGTCTTCACCAAGTAGGACAATGTCATCGGCATATTCTAAGTCGATAAGCGAACCTCCTGGTAAAAGGTCTACTTCTGAAAATTCAGTCGAAGATAAGATTATATCTTTGAGCATGTCTACGATAAAATTTAACAAGAATGGAGAAAGTGGACAGCCCTGACGGACACCACTTGAAGTAAAGAATTCCGGTGACAGTTCGCCATAAGCTCTCACTCGACCAGTGGTGTTCGAGTAGAGGGCTTGTATAAGGTTAATGTAATTCTTTGGTACACCTTTCAGTGACAGACACTGCCACAGAACCTCACGATCAACAGAGTCAAATGCCGCTTTTAGGTCCAGGAAAACAACTATTGTAGGACGCCTAAATGTGTGTCTATGTTCCAGGACCCGTCGTAGTGTGAATATGTGGTCTATACATCCACGTCCAGGTCTGAAACCAGACTGGTTTTCTCTAGTCTGCTCTTCACGAGCACTAGTAAGGCGTCTAAGTATAATGGAGGCTAACAATTTAGAAACTATATTAGTTAGACTTATTCCCCTGTGATTGTCACATGAAGACTTTTGTCCTTTCATGTAGATTGGGACAATCAGTGATTGAGACCAGTCAGATGGGATTACGTCCAGTTCCCAGATTCTGCCTAATATCTCGGTCAGTCTGAATGTTAAAACTGGACCACCGTCCTTAAACGTCTCAGGGGTAAGCATATCAGGACCTTCTGCTCTACCTCCCTTTAGATTTTCTGTAGCTTTCTCAACTTCATGTAGGCTAGGAGGACTTAAATCGATTTTTCACTCAGGATGACTGGAGATCGTGGGTAACCGAAGAGTGGCTCGAGGCCAGTTGAACTGATCCCTAAAGTCACATAAATGAGGCGAATTTCTTTGATGAAATGAATCTTTCTGGCTGCATTTTGCTAACTTATTTGCTTGTTCTGCTGTTTTTTTGTTCTAATGCATCAGTCCAATAATCGGTGTCTTCGAAGCATTGCTCGTATAGCCTGGCACCATCGAGTAAGCAATGCTGGTGTTAGGGAAAGGTTACTAGGCCAGGATGACAAATCAATTGATGAAGTAGCGGATCTTCATTAGTTGAGGTGGTTGAGATATGTGTTACGTATGTCTAGCCACCTGCTACCTGGACGAGTAATGTTGTTTGATGTAGTGTTAGGCTGGAAGGAAGCCAGGGGCGTTCAAACCCAAACGTGGCATAAATCCATGAATTCACTGACAACTGAATTCAGCCATGTTGGTAGATGTAGACTACCTAGTTGGAGTCCGCGAAGCTATCGTAACCAGTGGTTGGAGACTTTGAATGATATGGCTGGAAGTCGTTTGCAATGATGCAGATGCGTCCTTTCTTTGTGTTCTCTGAAATTCTAATCTTCTGGATCTCTCATGATCGTTTTTTCTCTTTTTAAATTTATTTCACTGGATTATGCTTCTCGAACCCTAATTTTCTCCATTACTGCCAACACTTGTACTACCTCTACTACTATGGGATTTGAATTGACGAATTTATTTGTCTCTGTGCTAATGTGGTATGGCAACTTGGACTTGCGTATATGCTTACCAGGCTCTATGATTTAGCTGACTGATTGATTAGTATTTACTAGTTTTCAATCCTTTTTGTTCGTCTTTCATACTTACCTTCCTTTATCTTCACAATCTCATTTATATTGTTGGCGTATTTAAATTTTGATGCCTCTTTGTAATAATACTTATATCTTTAACTAAATAAGTGTATTAATTTTTTAGCTCAATTGAACTACCTTTTGATCATACTTCGTTGTACGTCTTATGGTTCGAAATAGAGCATTCACGCATTGTTTTTGTTGTCATGAATTACATCCAGATTCTTTCATCTTTTCACACAGGAGGATTTTTGGGGTTTAAAGCATCGTTTCCTGAATTATGCTGGTTTAATGCAGAGAAGGTTGCGGGTGAAGACGTTGCTGAATATCACCAGTGTAACTGCGGACTCGAACAAATACTAGATGCTTGCTTAGGTCATTCATCTTCCACCGATCCTTCTAAAGTCCTAGTGTCTGAATCGGTTATTTTATCCACATCTGCTACGACCACTTCAGCTTGTGTTTCATCGACACCACCAAGTTCCATTTCATTTACAAATACTTCAACTTCTTTCCAAATTCCATCAAAGGAACAGTTTTCATCTGGGATTTCAAGGAAGTTAAGGTATAGCCTTTGTTTTTACCTCTATTTGTTTCTAGACCGGTAAACTTTTAATTAGTTAAAAGTAGCTGCTACCTTAACGGTAAGGCTAAACTTCCACTATGTGGGCAACCGGGGATCGACAACCGCCTTTATACTCGTAAAAGCACACGAGATCGAATCGGTCATAATCAGATCCTTTATACACCTAATAACTCTCTTATCTCCACGACCAACCACTTTATCGTTCCTTTGTCAACTCGCGCCGCTGATCCAAACTTTTTGAGCTCACAAAACGTTATTCCTGGTCTCCTGAAACCCCGCTCTAAACTACATATTGGAGCTTTTAATGTTCGAACCTTGTGTCAAGTAGGGCAATAGGCTTTATTAGCTAAGTTTCTGGAATCCGGGGTGGTCGATGTATGTTGCGTCTCCAAAACGCGTATGCAGGATCTTAGTAAAATCGTCCATTTTTATTTCTCCTTGTCTAAATAGAGAATCAACTCGGTCTACGCTTCGTGTATCTGGAAGCCCTGATGCTGCTTCCCGGGGTCTCGCTGGTGTAGCTATGATATTAAGTCCTAGGGCAGAACTAGCTCTTTTGGACTATATCCCGGTAGATTGTCGCTTGTGCGCTGTAAGGACTCGGAAAAATAGGTACACTCCGTTGCCTCTTCGTTGTATCTGCCTGCGCTCCCACCGACGGCAGCTTGGACGAGATAAAAGATGAGTTTTACAGAAAGCTTTCGGACATCCTCCAAAAAGTTAATCGATGTATCGTCTTGGTATTCTATTGTTGCTTGGTTTCACAATACGCGATACAGCAACATTTATTTCCTTGTGCTTTTAGCCTCTTAATTTTTTGGTGGTAGCCTACATCTACTAACATGACTCAGTTCACTTGTCAGCGATTTCATGAATTTCTGCCATGTTTTGGTCTGGCCGCCCGTAACCGTAGCTGTTACCTTGACGTGTTGGTCGGGCTCGCCTATCGTGATAACCCAACCGAGCTATATTGGCTGGAACATATGTTATTGAAGGTTCTACTATGCCAAACAGGTCGATTGTAAAACGATGAGACTAAAAACAGCTACTCCAAGTCTGAGGGTGAAGTCGTACTGCTGACTGCAGAGAGCTGTGACAGGAGTAAGGTATCTCCCTTGGACAACCAGCATCTGCAGCGATGCTGCCTTCTCACAAGGAAGGAAGGGTTAGAAAAGGTCGGTCCTAAAAATGTCACATCTCACCCTACCTCACGGATTTCCGTCTCCGGCGGTAAGGGCTCTTAAACAGGAACAGAGCTAACACTTTAAATACTACCCATAAAAAGGCTGTGCGTGACTGGCCTCAAGCAGTTGTCCCTCGGTCTCTGTAGTCAAGCTCCCAGGTCGTTCAGACCAACGCTAATCTACCTTTTCAGGTTCCTCAAGAAAGACCCTTCCTCGGTGTGGGCAGCCGAGAAGTGGTGTCCGCTCTCACCCGTAACAGCACACGAGACCGAATTGGTCACAATGAGATCCTTCATCTCCCCCTAATATCTCGTATCACTACGATTAACTCTTCTCTCATTCCTTTATCACCTCGCACCTCTGCTGCAAACGATTCGAGTTCCCGAAATGTTATTCCTGGTGTCCTGAAACCTCGTTCCAAACTACATGTTGGAGCATTTGATGTACGGACATCGTGTCAAATAGGGCAACAGGCTTCATTAGCTATGACTTTAGAATCTCGCGCTATCGATGTGTGCTGCGTCTCGGAAACGCGCATACAGGATCCGAGTAGCGTCATTCACTTGACCTCATCATTTAAAGATAAAGAAGCAACTCGATTTACCCTTCGTGTATTTGGAAGTCTTGATGCTGCTCCCGGGGTCTCGCTGGTGTAGGTATAGCATTGAGTTGTAGGGCAGAACTAGCTCTCCTAGACTGGATCCCAGTAGACGATTTCATTTGTTTCTTTGCTAATGTGTTATGGCAACTTGGACTTGTGTACGTATGTACCGTTTTCTGTGTTGTAACTGATTGCTCTACTAACCTTACTTTCTGTAAAAGTTTTCGTTCTAACGTGCTTTTTTGCTACTTCAATGTTACACGTACTGGTTTCAGAATGCTTCCATTGAATAGCATTAAAGGAATTCGAATCCTCTATAATTAACTTTGAGAAAATGTTTTTTCCTGCAAAATTTGTATTTTCAGTGAACAGTAAATTTATTTTAGTCAACAAACGTGACATCAGTTTCAATAGTTTCGATTCATATTGTTTTTGTTTTACAATTGAATATGAATAATACTTTTTTCGCTTTTTTTAAAACTAATTTTAGTCCTGATGTACTTGTGGATAATCGTTCAAGATCTATTATAGAAATGAACGTTGATAGCACTGGAAGTACATTATCTCGTCCGTCTCCAATTCTGCCCTACTTAATATTAGGCAGTCAGGAAGATGCTAATTCTCCAATTACTTGTAAACTTTATGGGATTACTCATATTCTCAATGTATCTCTTGAAGGCAGTGTTCCGTCACATATACCCAGTCAAAATTTTTATCAGATTCCTGTGAATGACAACTATACTGATCTCATGACTCCATACTTCAAAGATGCCTTCGCATTTATTGGTATTTATTAAATTAGTTATATCCTTAATGAAAACTGATTTTTTTTAAAATTCATGTTGCTTAATTATTTACTTTGTACGTACTGTTAAACACTAGCAACTAGTTAGAATGGTATTAAATGGTTTGTCGCTGACTGTGGAGTTATAGTTTGTTGACCTTAATATCCGAATTTCAATTGATGTTGTATGCTTGAATATTGGTCTACTCCACTATAGGTCCGTCTTTGAGTTGCTGAGACAACGACCGGCTTTATAGGTTTCAGTGATTATAACGAATGTGGTGATAAAACGCACATATTAAGGCTCGTTAAATAACGTATTTCTTAAAAAAATTTTAATACGGGTTGTAAACTTCTCTTCTGTCAAATAAATATCAATCTCTTAGTTTCTGTTTACAACCTTTGTTTTCCTACATCTGTTCAACAAATATATTTTACCTTTGCCTAGTGAATGCTTATTACCTTACCATCTGCTCTTGCTTTCATCCTTACTATCTTTCTGTTTATTTAATTACAATACTTTCATAAATATTAAAGTAGCTTGTACGGTGTCTCATCTTTAGTAGTTAGTTAGTAGAGACAGTTGGACTTGACTACATAGGTAAATGTGTAAGTAATGATAACATTGTGTCAGACGGGATCTATATTCTGGTAGAGCTACATACCTTAAAACCTAACCCCTTTGAACTGGTAACTTTCTACCTCCACTTAAGCTACACTTAAATCTGATGAAAACACGATGTAAGTAATGATAAAGTGAGAAATGTGTCTTATTGTAACGAAGACTCTCATTTAGTCAGTGAGTTCATCTGAGACATTGGTTTCGGTTTTCAGTATGCTGACCCTGGGATTCTCATACTAAATACCGTTAAGTTTGGGATAAGTTGAGAGGAATAGAAAGGTTGCCAGTCTATGGCATATAATCCCAACAAACGGTATTTATGTCGGTGTCTGCCACATCATAACTACCTGGGTGGGATTCTATAGATCGTGGGACGTAGTATCTCAAGATTTTGCAAAACGTTGCTAACAACCAAATTAACAGGAGATCTAACCACCATTTTCTTAACAATATAAATCTCATAAAATATTCTATATTTGTAAAGTTCAGACTGGTGACTCCACACACTGAATCCTTCATAAGTTTAAATTCAAAGTGTAACCTGTTGAACATAACTGTTATCGACACAGATAAACAAGATGTGTATGTCCTGACCTTATCGCTAAATCGTTTTCAAGTTGTACTTACCTACTTAAAATGACGTTATCTATGCTAATCATAAGACTACCATTTTCAAAAGATACTAATGATGTTTTTTTTTCTAAATCATTTATTTGTAGACTCCGCTAAAGTGGCTCATGGACGAGTTTTAATCCATTGCTCAGCTGGAATATCTCGATCACCTACTTTAGCAATTGCCTATCTTATGTATTCATGTCGAATGAAAATGCATGAAGCATATGAGTAAGTTAAGTTTGGGTGATTTACCTCGGTTTCTGTTTGTGTATATTTAAGTGCCTAACATTTATGTTGAGTTATTCTGATTTTGTACTAAAACGTTTTCTGGGCTGACTGAGTAATATTGTTTCGAGAAAGTTTCGTGACTAACTAAGTAATACAACACTTTTTTTATAAATCTGTTTATACGGTAGTGCTAGTATAGTATGCAATTTTTCTGTTAGTGTAATCATACATTCATTGATTCATATCACCCATTTATTCGCTACAAGTTACTTTTCTATTCAGTTTATCTTTTGTGAAAATCAGAAACCTAATGTAAAGCTGTAGATGTCATTAACAACTTTTACTCCTATGATCTAGTTATTTGTATTTTTATCAAATCATCTTGTAGAGGGCGTCTAATTTTTGTTTTCATTATCGAAATAGCAGATATTGTTGATAGGTAAGTTAAAAACAATCATTAGTTCTATAGTTAACTAGATTTTCTATGCCTATATATCGTTATGAGAGGCAAATTAAAAGATTTAAATTGTTTCCACCCATTTCTCACTAACATTATTTGTTTCTTTGTTAAAAGAGAAGTGTCATACCAACTCTAATTGACTGTTGATGAACAAAATCTTGTCATGTACGTAATAGCTTATTTGGTAACCATCAAAATGAGATGTCTGTGGTGCTAGTAATGTTGAATACTTGTTGAAAAATAGGCTTACCTCTCAACAACATAATCTCCGCTACCATGGAGCCTTGTGCGATGGAGTAACTGGTGAACTATTGTTTAAGTTGTAGCACTGCACCATTTATTCATTATTAGTTGTTAGAAGTATTCGACAATTGTATCGACCATTTTTTTTGTAATTTTGAGTTTAGAGGGTAAGTCAGTTTTTGTAGAATTCGGCAACTACGACGGTTGAGGTTGGTAGGTATGTTGCTCATCGTGGGCTGCCCCTTAAACAAAGTGTTGCCTTGGGTGAAGTGAAAATGTAAACTCAGTAGTGAATGTTTCAATGAACTTATGAATTTTTATGGTCACTCAATGTTAAGATGTATTATTTTGAAATATGATTCTTTTTCTTTTAGTATCATTACTTTTAAACTTTGGGACTTGACAGGGTTACTTTCCTCTCCCGCTATAAATATACATTTTCCAACCCTGTTTGTGAATACTAAAATTAATTAACATCAGTATAATTTATGACGTAATTTTTGTCTTAAAGAGATGTGAGTGTAATAGATTGTTATATTAGATATGGTATTTACAAAATACTTGATATTTTTATTTAACAAATACTATCTATTATGGCTTTATGTATGAAATTACCAGATTAGCCACAGTAAGAAATTTTAAATCAAACACAGATTCAACCATCTCATTTTTTTATTGCCTATCACACTCCCTTTATACTTGTCAATTTAAGAGTAGTTTATGTAATTGTATTGTAACGAAGTTAGATTTACTGCCATCCATCATTAAACTGTTAACCTTTTCTATCGATTTTCTAGTGTTGTAAAATCTGGACGAAACAGCGTTGCTCCTAATTTTAATTTTCTTGGCCAGTTATTGGAGTTTGAGCATCAACTTCATGATTCTGGTTGTAATGAACCTTCTGTTCCAGTCGATCGCACTACAATGTTTGACAGCGCTGCCAGCTTGTGTTCTAGTATAAGCATGCCTACAGAGGTGCAAAGTTCCTCTATTTTAAAGTCTAGTTCTAACTCATCATCATTCTCACTAACCCTAACTCCAACCTCGCCGAAGGTGCTATCTAAGAAACGGGAAAGACCAACATACCTTGGTTTAGAGGCTACTTCATCGTCTTTTGGAGAAGTTCTAGAAGGGCCTATTCGAAAAGGTTCACTACATTGTGGGGGTTCGGTTAGAGCGATTCCTGAATCTGGAATAAGCCCTACTGAAGGGAAACGTAGCAGAGTTTCAGAGTTATCATCACCCAGTCAATCTCATAATCCATTATTACCGTCTCCTTGCACTGGGTTATCCAAGCTGGAGATATCTTCACCATTGGAAGAGTTTCGCTCTTTACTGTCCGTTTCTCGCGCTCCATCGTCTTTTGTACCTAGTCATTTGCTTCCGGGTCCTGAATCCACCATACAGATGCTCAAATTGAGACCTTTCCTTTCATCTTCTACAAGTTTGCAAACTTTGAAATTCGAACCATGCTCGACTGTTATGCCACCACATCCCATCCAATTAGGTACCTCACTTTCACCAGCTACTATTCTCAGACTTCGTCGTTCATCATCCACAGTTTCTACTTTAAGACCGACTTTGCTTGCTCACCGCTGTCTTTCTTCACATGCAAGTGCACCGCCAACTCCAAGACCAGTATCTACTAGTGGAAGTCATGCAGTTTACCACAGCATTTTGCATACAGACAGAGCATTTCATTTACCAAGCAGCTTAACTTTGACTAGTTCGTCTAGAGTAAGGGAGCTTAGTCCTTCCAATCCATCAGCTCAAGAACCAAAGCTTGAATATGAACAGTTGCAGAAACGTGATGCAAATTTTGTTGAAAATGAATCAGTTAAAAACCAATATGTTCCCCTCAGATGTTCAAAATTTACTTCACATTGTCAAACACCAAGTCTGCCTGGTAGTTTATTACGCCCACATAGCAATGAGAACGTAAATAAAAGCTATATAAAAAGTGACAAGTTCCAGGGATGTCTAAGTGCATCATCTAGATGTATCAACTCTTCGTATAAATGCGATGCCTCTACTCTCAGTCGTAGCGCTCCATCACAGCGTGATATAGATCAAGCCTTTTTCGAGGACAAAGGTTTTTCGAATAATTTTTCCTGTCTCTTTTCTGTGCGCAGGTCGTTACCTGTTTCTAGTGAGCTTACTTCTTCATCTCTGATAGATTCAAAGAAATCTGATCCTGGACAGTCATCAACTAACGTAAAAATGACTAACATTGTTACTACTATGCGGTTAATACCACAAGTCACTAGTGTGGATACTTCGTGTCGGCGTCAGCAACAATCCTTTGTGCAATCATCTAGTAGTAGCAGTCCATCATCTACTAGCCACAATTCTCCACATAATAATAGTAGTTATAGTCTATTCCCAATTTCTTAAGCAGCGTTTTATCAAGTTGATTTTGGGAAAAGTTGCTGTTAGTCAACGTTACTTCCTTCCTCGTTTTCTTAGTACAATAAAAATTTTAGAAATTGGTTTCGTTGGTTCGTTTTTCCTTTTTGTTAAATATTTTTAAACAAACTTAATGCATTTATTAACTAGAGCTAAACATATTTATACAATGTCTACCATTACCACATAATTACTAACGGCCTTGACTTGTTTTGTTAACCAGGTTTTTCAAAGCCTTATACATAGTAATTGTTTACCACCCTGATTTTAAACTCTTCATAGGCTGTTATCGTGCCAATTTGTCTTGTGTGTGTTTGTTTTTTGTGTTATCTTCTCCACTTTTTTCCCTACTTTTCCCGATTTTTCACATACTTATTTTGTTCAAGTAATTAATTACACGCATTTTACGACCTCGATTACACTGTAAACATTCCATCATTTTAAGTATTACAGTAGTATCTTTACTGGTCTATACTGTACATAGCAAGAAATTAAACGCACACACGGTTCATTTGTGCCTTACTTAATATTATTTTAACAATTTATTTGGGTGTACATATTTATGAAATTTTTTATCAAAGTGTTCACATGGAGGAGAATAAGTTTCTTTTCTTTCTGTTTTTGAGAAAAAATTTTGATTGTTTGTCGAACACGCTTCACACTACCTACCTACTTATATATATATATATATATATATATATATATATATATAGTATTTGTTTTAGGGGTTTTTCAAATTAAATCATTTTGTTGTTACAACTTATATCCTTCTGTTTTATACCTTTTGTCTAGAAGTTAGTGTTAATAACTCAATTAAATGGTATTTTGATCGGTAAATTTCTCACGTACCTCAAGTTTGGTGACCCAAAAGAGAAACTTGTAGGTCATCTGCTTTTCATCTGCGGAAATATTACAACGAAATCTTCCTGTTTTAGTTTAAATTATTTCATTGTCTAATATCCCGGCATGCGATTACAAAAAGCATACAAACCATATCAAAGTTAAATAATTCTAGACGAGTTGCATTTATATCAATCCATCAGGAACTACAAAAAAGTAAACATTCCCATAGGGAGTCTTTTAAGATATATGACAGTCATTTTGTAGTTGTTACTCATAAATTATATGACATAACTAAGTAGTGAATTGGATTTTTGACCTATACTGTAAATGGACTAGGTACTGATAAGTGATAGTGTGTGGTGCATAGTATAGCTTTTCTTTTTGTTTACCAAGCTAGCTACTCATGGATATAAGAAGTATGTAAGGTTTAATTTGTTATTCTGGTTGGGACTCATCATTTTAAGTGTAATTTATGTTTATGAAGGCGGGTGTATTCTAAGTGCCACATTTTAAGCTTCTTTCAATATGTAAAAAATGAGAATACAAAACAACAAAATGCTGTTTCGAAATTTTTCTTACATAGATGATTAGCAAATAGTTTTAAGTTATATGTTTTAAAAAATATTTTTGTAAACAGGCATTGATAGATGAAAAAATACTACACTCCCATAAACAACAGCTTACACCTACAGTGAGCATTTTTCATTTAATTTAAACAACTGCGTTGAGGAAAACCCTGTCATGCAATAACATAAGTTCGGGGTGTCAGTTGTATATCCGAGTGACCAAAATAGTCCAACTCTAACGAGAAGTTAGAGTTCAAATCCCTAACTTAAAGTTGTATCAACAATAACAATGTTTCCTCTCGACTTTCCTTTATATTTCAGAAAGAAAACATGAACCCATTTTCCCAGTCTCATCATAGGGGAACACTTTGCATCTACATGATGCTAGTCTAAAGCATTCGTACCTTACGTCACTCATCGCATTTTCGCTGTCGTCGAGTATTTATTTCACAAATATCAGCTCCGAAAATAATGAAAGGTTATTTACACTAGAATACCACAGGATAATCTCTATTCACATCCAAGTTTACATAAAGTTATTGACTATAATAATGTAATCATTGAAAAGTTATCTAGTGAGAATTGTAGAATTTAGCTAGATTGTTATTCAGTTAGTGTACATTCATTGTCTTGTTAGTAAACATAATTTTGAAAAATCATGCAATTACGACTGACATCCATATTTTTGTATATCACTGAAAATATCGATTAAGTGTACTCTGTTTAACTGAGGATAAGTAATTATCATATATGGTGTATAATCGTTACGGAATTCTATTTGTTTGCCTGAATAGATTCATCTAATTATTTCCACACCAAAATGTCTATCCAGTTCTTCTAAACCTGCATTGCATACCTGAAATATAATGATAGAATTTTATTGGTATACTGTTGTACAAAATTATGATACTTTGAATAAATCTAGGTAGTATCACGTCATATATTCGATTGAAGATTTTGATATCTTAGAGCTATGCATTATATATACAATATATTTAAAGATAAATCAATCTAACCTGATTCCCAATTATCTCATTATCGATAACCTTGAGTACATAGATGTAAATGCTGAGAATACTAAGAAGATATGTGAATTTTCTGACGGATTCCCGAAATTTGACTTCATTACAGATAAAATAACACAGTTTTCATTCCATGGGTTCAATATTACGTTTTTTCTTAGAATAAATGTTTAAATATGCCAACGTAATTCTGAATTGTTTCAGGCAAAGTATATAATGCTCATCTGAAGGTCTATTGAAAATTTTTAGAGGAGAAACAGCTATTATCAATAATTTCATTCAACAACAATGATGGTGATGTAGATCATACAGCCAATACTAAATCAAAGGAATTGTTGTTATGTTAGCAACACTCGATAGAAATTGGTTTAAAAGAGAAGATTATTGAAAATGATCATCATCAAAAATAACAATACTATGGGACGTAAATAATCGTATTATAGAAATATCCAAGTACTAAAAAAGATATCTGAAAGAGGTTGTAGGTCGCTTACTAAATCTTTGACTACAGAAAACGTTGTGTTATGCTTCTACAAATTCTAGCTTCTTTAAGGCTTGGAAAATATGGTCGTTGTCTCTTGGGCTATGTTACATTCAATATTTAATTCATATTCCTTTAATGAAAATATTTTACAATCACTTAAACATCGAAAAAGTATCCTACTCCCACCCATTATATGAAAATAGGAATTCACCGAAAACACTCACTTTAATCGGTGGGTCCTTTAAAGGGTTCCCACCAACTGTTGTGCTTGGCGATAATAATGGCGACCATATTAATCCACGCAGTTCAACGATTGATTGTGGTAAACTTTCCAGTCTATTATCACCTAACCATAAACATCGAATATTTCGTAATTCACCAATATCCTCTGGTAAACTGGTCAAACGATTGTCGAATAATAATAAGCTTTCTAAACTGGTTAATTCGGTTATAGATGATGGTAAAGATTCCAAATGATTACTGCTTAAATCTAGGAATTCTAATTTCGTTAATTTCAATATTGGTTTAGGAAATTCAGCAAACTACGGTTATCAATTTTTTAATCAGAAAAAAATAGAAAATAAGGAGAAGAGTTAAAAAGGTATATAGTTTAGAATTTATTTCTCTAAAGCTGACATTAATAAATTATTCGAAATTTCAAACCGTATTCTGAAAAGTGACAGGCAGCTAAATGACATTAATCGGTATTTTTAATCCAACATTTTTCTCTACCTTAGTATATGTATTCTCTGAATGCACATATTCAGTCTTTTTTTAATATTGAACATCCAAAGGTGGGACCAAACAACTCAATGGAAAAAAAAATCTTAGAAATACTTATGCAATAATTACTATCTCATCGTCAACTACACCTCAGGCAGTACCAGCTAGTACGAAATTTATGCACTACTTTGTATTTGAATGATAATTCCTATTCATGTTATCTTGCGTCCTAAAATAATGATTCCTTCAGAATACAATAATATGCCAATAATTAATTATCGCTTGTTTTAATATTATTTATTTGTCATCCATACTGACAGTCATGATTCGAATGTAAAGAATATCAAATTCACAATTATTTCTTGAACACAATATAATGCGTTATTTTATCAACCAATCAGTAATTTGTCAAAAAACGAGATGTTATATCAGGGCGAAGAATGAAGGAGTGGTAACTCGTGGAGCTAAATTGTGTATAGCTGCTGAGTGATTAGATTAATTCGTCCGTTTATTCCGTTTATTATGAACTTTCGGTTAACCCATAAACTACTATCATACGACTTACTGTTCCTAATTTGTTGCTGCTCCATTACTTACAGTCTCTTCTATTAATAGCCACTTTGTTTATGTATGTTTATGATATTTCATTTTATGGTTTGTGCTATCCAGTAAGCTCGTATACTTTTGGGGACGTTAGATCCCCAGAACTCACTTGGAAAGGTCCTAAATTTGTAATTTTATGCTGAAATTTGAATTTCCATGTTGTCGCGCCAGTTGACCTTCAGCTCACATTTCCTCCTCGAAAAATCCTTGGCTGTCATTGGTTGATGGATTATTTTAGTACGCTATTCTTGTGGCTCTCCCAAGGGCGTTTCTACCATGTATAAATAAGCTCGAATTGTGTGCTTGTCGACTTCGTATTTTCTGGGTGCTTGTAGAATACATTTTCTACGCCATATCAAGACTTCTTGATATAATTAGCCGAGCAGGGGACAACGGATTAGAATAGCCTCTCTCGTTACCGAGTAAGGTGAACTCGTAATTATTCAAGCATATCAACTGACGAGCATATCATATACAAACGAAATCTGTTTGGAATCTACATATAGTAGCAGCTGATTGCTAACTTTTGGAGTGAATTCAGAACATAAAGAGAAGCTTACGAACACAGACCAATACGAACTTGGCTGCATCGGCTCAGTGTCAGTGGGGCGTGCAGTTGGTCAATTTGCGGACACTAGGCTATCGAAGAATTAGTAGACACGAAATAGACCAAATTAAATTAGGGTTGTGACTAGTGACTCACACGAGACATTTGTCAGCGGTCTCAAGACATAACACAACTGTATTTATTACTCATATTGATATCATTTAAAAAGCTGTAGCAAGTCCACAAAACAGTTCGATGGTTGTTACTGTTCGACTCCTCGTTACTTCGAATTCGCTAACTCTATCTTCTACCCTTTCAAGTCGGACAAACAAAATTTGAATTTGCGGGAAATCGTTTGTTTTGTCGAATTCAATGATCAATAACCATTCAAACTCTCATTCGAAACAATTAGGGTTATGGAATTGACTTTCGTTATAAAGAATTTATTATTTGAATGATGTATCATCGTACTTTAAGTAGATAATAAATAAAAAAAAATCAGACTGATAATTTCTAAGTATGGGTAGACGTAATTAATAATTAGTGTGAAAAGTTGGTAACGAATTGTTTACCTTTTAACGGTCTAGTTTCACCGTTTATGATCGATTATTCTGTTTAGTGATGTAAACACATGTAATAGTTCTGTCGATAGAATGTTAATTCTATGAAAATTCTTTTGGCTTATAATTCAATTACTTTTTAAATACATGTCACAGGACTAAAAATTGTATTGCATAAGTATTAAGATCATTAGAAAGCTTAAGAGTTTTATATTCATGATTCACTGCTTGATTATTGCGAGTAAACGACGAGAGAGTATGAATTACTTATAGTTTACTGACTAACATTGTCTAACAAGTTCAGAGAAATTCATGTTGTTTTTCTGAAATAAAATCTGATTTTATGAAATATCAGATATCAAATATAAACTACACAAGACGTGAGTAAAATATTTTCCAGTTTATCAACGGTAATTACGCAGCTGATAGTAAATTAAATTGCACGTGAAGATTAAAATTTGAAAATTTTATTTAGAACTAGATCTCCAGTCGGATTTAGCTACTTGTTTGGCGACAAAAATTACCCATAAAAGAGAGCAACAATGATGATCCTTGGTCACGATTTTCAATGCAAACGTCAAAACTGTTCTATTGTCTGTGACGCAAACTTGGCGAACTACATTAGCCATCATCCACAAAGGATACAGGTGTTTATTAACAATTTTCCATACAAAATACTCCGGATCCGTTGGCCAGACATCATCAGTAACAACATACTGAGGGAGAGAACAAACCAGATTCCGTTTGAGGAAGGAATCGGGAAAAGGCACTATAAGCGATGATGACACGTTGCGTCAAAAAGAAAGTCCTCACTTGGAAGCCTCAAAGTCAATGGAAAAGAGGAAGACCAAGGAACACATTGCTTGGATAATTGGAAGCAGAGAAGAAAAGAGTGAATGGTGATTGGTTAAAACTGGCGAGTAAGGCCGAGGACAGAATAGATTGGCGAATGCTGGTTGGTGGCCTATGCTCCATTAGAGGTAATAGGTGTAACTAAATAATTAAGTAACAAGAAGCATGCCTGTCCAAAAAATTCGTTATTGGAATACGTAGATGATATTTGTCATGCGTTAACGTTAGCCATGGCACCGTCGAAAATCAGAGAACTGTGACGATAAGTTTAATAAATGTAAAGTGCTCCCAAAGCATATTAAGTGGCTCCTCACTATCGCTAACCACTTTTTCAAACATGTTTCATACTTTTTCTCTGGGTCAGTAAAATTTTTGGATATGACTAAGTTTTTTTGATATTTCAGATGATTGTTAGTGGTAGCTTTCAAAACCCATGAATCAGCGTTTATGTACTGTTCTATTTGTTGACAGAAATAACCTAGTGAATTTAATTAAATTAGTAATTATTTTAATCACATGTTAATTACATTAATACTATTATTATTTCAGTGCATCATAACAATTATTTTGGAACCGGAGAATCACAGTAAACAAAGTTGAAAAAGTACAAGATTTTAAATTGTAAACGCCGATTTGATTACCTCGTTAGTGTAAACTGTGATGATCCAAATCAATGTTCAATTAATTAATATGATAAATAAAGTATTCTAGGCCATTTGACTATAAATTTATGAATCATTTATCAGCAACTGGTTCATTCAAAATGATCGATTATTTTGTAATGTTAAACAAAACATTATTTAAAATAAATAGTCCAGGGTATCCACTTAATAGTTAATCATGATTAATATGTGAGTCATTAGCAGATCACTTGAAATTTTTTGTCTTGTCAGCATGATAAATTTCATACACAGTGTGCACAACTTAATTTTCATTAAAATACCAATTAGTCAAATTTCATCACAGGTTCACTGGTTGTGGTTACAAACTGACATACGTTATTTAGTTGAATGGTGGTTTCCGTGTACTTACGAAAGCTGAGAAATGAATAGAAATCAGAGGGCAGTGGAGAGCGGTTTCATCTCCATGTGATAATTTCAAATAGTAATGTGCCTACATTTTAGAGTTTATTTTCACACTAAGACCGAAGCTCAGTAAATTTCACTTCAAAGGCTCAGCGTTATCCACTGAGTTACTGAGTCCGGATAGTCACCAACCTGTTCATAGGATGTAATATTTACACATGTTATCCATCTACTAAGTCAAATAAAATGCTGATCTTAATGACAGTTATTACTTCCTGTTAATAACAAACAATATGTGCAAATTTCAGGTTCCAACTAGTGAGTGACCTAGATTTGAAACTGTTTTCAGATGTAGGCTAGCTTACCTAATATGCTTATTACTCCACTGTATCAGTAGTAACAAAACGCATCAATATAATATAGTCAAGTAGTTAGAAATATTCACTAAGCAACCTGTTAGCTAAAAAAATAAAAAAGAAAAAAAAACTTTGTCATTACTAAATTATTCGCCAAATGTAGACTTTTAATTCGCTTTAATCGTGTCATAGATGTAGGTAGACTTTTTAATTGATTATTTGATGCAGATAATTTTTCTAATTGTGTTAATGAACCAATTTCAGATGGTAGACTGTGCAATTCATTTGTATCCAATATTAATATTCTGAGATTAATTAAATAACCTAAAATTCCGAAAAAAATTATATACATAACAGTGAAATTTAGTTAAAAATTTCTCAATTCTTATGATTAATTAAAATAATGCATACATTATAGTTTAGTCTTTTTTTTAATTCGAACACATATAATAACATCTTGTCCAAGAATTAAATGCGTTCAAAAGCATGGTACGATGTTTAATCTTTAAAAGTTAACTGGAAGTGAAATACTAAGTTATATGAAGAATATAGCCGACAGATTATTGGTTAATTGTGACCGACAGTTTTGTTCTTGATTATTCATCATTCACTCTGACAAATATATAATAACGATATATGTACTGATAAATATCCAGTACAAATCTCTATGTTGATTGGTTTTGTGCGAAAATTCTCAGTTCAACGAATTTAGTTGACCTGGGAATTTTACCAATCACCCCTGTATTGTTATTCGTTTTGAAATGCAAATTCTTGTAGGTCATTGAAATAGAACGTAATTAGAATATTCCTCTATTCCCAGCATGAATTTTGTTCGTTCGTCTAATCTGTTGTATTTATCATAGTTTTCTGACTATGAACTTTGAAATATCATCACTAGATCACTAGATAGTATGCAAGATTGACATCATAAATCTTCTTCTATTCACTTATCAAATGATCACTTTAAGAACACTCGTTTGCACAAGATATCTTACTTAATTATACGTTATCAGGACCTCGTTCAAACAATTAATACGTGATCGATTAACCTGATGCCAATACTTTCAATATGTTAAATGTCATGTGAAAACATTTCAATAATCGTAAGTATAAAAAAAGAATAAATAGAGTAAATGTAAACAATTACCTTTTCACTATGTGAATTGTTTTCAAGTGAGTGTTTGGAGGATTAAGCGATATTCAGAAACTTTTACATGTGTTAAATGCTCGTCTACTTAATATGAATAAGATCTAATAATTATTTCCACTGAATCAAGTTGGAAGTTTTATGGAGGTTAGCGATCTCATATCATAAAAAACTAACTGGCTAACCAAAAATATCCAAAACATTTAAACTCTGCCATAGGAATTGAAGAGTTTATTTAAAAGAGTTTTTACATCTCATAGTGAAAGCCGAGTTTTGTCGGAAGTCACGAGCCTATCACCCCTTCTGACCACCAGAGCAGCAATTCATGTAGGCTCATGGAATTTTCTCACAATGAGGGAGACTGTAAGAATTATTCGAGTTGCTGAAGACATGAAAAGATAGAATCTGGTGATGTTTGGAATCAGTGAAAACACATTGGACACAGAAGATTAACTTCCCGTGAGATGCGGTTATACTCCGACGATGAAGAAGAAAATTCCTGGTTGACCCAAGGAGTTTCATAGACACTTATAAGATAGGGATCTCATGGACTAAGAATCATCAAAGACTTCCTGAACACAATGAAAGACGAGATCACAAAGAATATCATTCAGAGCTATACGTCTGCCAACAATATCATTGAGGATGGTAAGGCTCAATTATATGAGAGGTTGCTGTCAATCGTCGAGAAATGTCCAGTAAAGAACTAGGCTATTCTCATAGGAGACCTAAACGCCAAGGTTGAATTAGGCAATACCGAGTAAGAGGACATCAAGAAACGGCATTGTTGGGAGAAGGGAAAGAAAATGGTGAAAAATTCGTAAATCTATTCGCCTTCAATATACTGGTCATAAACGGCACCATATTCCTACACAAACGAATACACACAGCTTCATGCCTTTCACCGGATCACACAATACATCATCAAATCGACCATATCTGCATCTTTGTTCATACTCTGGATAAGACTCACGGAAGGAGAAACAAGAAGGCTGCAATCAAAATCACTTGAACAAGAGCAGAGAAGGCCGAGGCACAAGATGAATACACAGGAGCAAACAAGCAAGTGAAGAGGAGAATCACAGCTGACTAACGCAAATATGTGGAATATCTAGCAACGATAGCAGAGGAAGCTGCAAGAGAAGGAAACATGAGACAGCTATATGATAAGACGAAGAAGCTCGCTCGAATAAATAGCAAACTAGGACAACCAGTCAAGGACAAAGAAGTTGAACCAATCGTCAACACTCAAGAACAGCGAAACAGGTGTGTAGGGCACTTTGAAGAACTCTTGAATCAACCAGCCTCACTGAACTCACTCAACGTCGATGCAGCAAATAAGGTCCTTCCAACGGTTGTTGAACAACCAACAATTGAATAAATATGTGTAGCCATAAGACAAATCGAGAGTGTCAATGTAGCATGACCAATCAACATTCCAGCTGAGACATGGAAGACAGTTCGCAGACTTATTCCAAGTGCAGGTCGGTGTCTGACAAGGTTGCTTACTTTCACCCCGTCTCTTTCTCCTAGTGGTCGGCTGGAATATGAAGACGTCAACATTTGTGGGGAAACACAGGGTACAGTGGACAGCTCGGATGCAGCTGGATGATCTGGACTTTACAGATAATCTAACCCTACTATCCCACACGCGACGACAAGCATGAACCCAATCTGACTTAACAGAGGTGCATTGAAAGACGTAGGGGCCTTCACAAATCTGGGCAGCTCATTGATAAACGAGGTGATATCGATGTAAAGATACGGGTTAGTGAAACAAGGACAGCATTTGCACAGTTGAAGGACATTTGGAACTCAAAACAACTAACATCAAAGTCACGATTTTCAATGCAAACGTCAAAACTGTTCTATTGTCTGTGACACAAACTTGGCGAACTACATTAGCCATCATCCACAAAGGATACAGGTGTTTATTAACAATTTTCCATACAAAATACTCCGGATCCGTTGGCCAGACATCATCAGTAACAACATACTGTGGGAGAGAACAAACCAGATTCCATTTGAGTAAGAAATTGAGAAAAGGCGCTGTAGGCGAGTATGACACATTGCGTCAAAAAGAAAGTCCTCACTTGAAAGCCTCAAAGTCAATGGAAAAGAGGAAGACCAAGGAACACATTGCTTGGATAATTGGAAGCAGAGAAGAAAAGAGTGAATGGTGATTGGTTAAAACTGGAAAGTAAGGCCGAGGACTGAATAGATTGGCGAATGCTGATTGGTGGCCTATGCTCCATTGGAGGTAACAGGCGTAACCATTGATTTTAATAGCTTTTAATTCTATTTGATTTTCGGACTTCAAAAATTTACTGTGTTTACTTCCAGCAATAACTATAATTTTAAGTATTATCAAAATTCCTTGAAATGTTGTTACCTGTAATCCGTCGTTTAGGTTGATCCTTAAATCGTATACTCTTTAAATCAATAAACAGAGATTAATTTAATTGGATGGAAACTGTGTATATATTTCCCAGTTTGACTGAGGTTTATTTTACGAACTGGCTCTACTTATTCAGCTACTGAGAACGTCCATACTAGAATGAAACAGTTTTGTCTACATCCTAGTTTCCTACGTTATTTTAATGACAAAAAACTATAATTTCTCACCGTGCTAGTTATTATTTTATCAAATATTGAAATATGTACATAGGAGTCGCTTAGTCACTTAGGTAATTTAAAACAATAGCTTTCAACACGAAAAAAACAATCAAAACATCGAATAACAAATTATGACACATTTAAAAGATTAGAATCATAAATCTGTTACATAGATTTAACTATTTTAATATTATTTTTTGACAGTTAACTATGACGTCAGTTACTCTTTATTATTTTGATAACCAATACCAATTTATATGGATATTCATCTCCCTACAGTCCTAAAATAGAATTAGACAATGAGTCAGAGTTGTGATTCACTGCAGGCAGCTGCATTTTCATTAAGTGATCATAAATCATGTATAAACATGATTTTGAGTGTATTTTTATTGATAAAAAAAAATTCAACAAATAAAATAAGTATAAAGTTAGAAATAGGAAATTGTTTTTAATTTTTATTTTGCTGCAGTCTATAATACCTACATCTATTTGTAAACTGTTTTAAAATTCTCAACATTGCAAATATGCCTACCCTTCTAGGAAGGTGGCCAGAGGAAAAAAATACATTTATTTGAAATAGCCAACAAAATCAACATATTCATTCATTTAGATATAAAACAAAACATAAAACAGATAGATATAGTCTAATTATTAAATTGACGAATTCGAACAAACTGTTCATCATTAATGGAAATTATTTTTGTTTTGTTTATAGATAGAGTTTTGTGCATAGGAGTGAGAAAAATCTTTCAGAAACCTTGATGGAACTTTGCTTGAAAATCGTACAGATCTATGGACAATCAATTGATTCAGACGACGGTCATTCTAACAATAGCTTTAAACTTAATTCCTCCTAGCTTGTTTACCGTTAAATTTATTTGATACATCAAAAAATACTTTAATGATTACTATCTAATATGTTTGATGCATTAGTTATCATCTCAGGTATATGTATCATATAACTTGTACTGTAGGTAATTATTTCGAAGGTAGGAAGTCTTTAATTGAATATCTACCCTAAAGAGATCTATAAAGATCGTTTAGGTCACTGTATCTGACTAATATGCGTATAACTTTTATTTAGTTCATTTTTATTAGTATATTCTATAAGTAATGCAGTTAAAAGCTTCATCATCAAAAATATTCAAATCAATCCATAGCAATGACTGTTACTGTTCAGTTCAATTTGAATTATATTTGTTACACAAGTTTTAGGCCCTAAAAGTTATGTATTATTTTGAATTTAAAACAGTATTTGAAATTCTATTTGTTGATTTGTTGATATCTAGGTACTAAGTTACCGTACAAACAAAACATCACTTCAATGATGTATTTGCAGACATTATTATTATTAACTTCAAACGATAGATCCCAGTGAAATGAACATGAATTCATTGTTTGATCTAAATCACTAACCTTTAGATTACTTAACCAATAGTTTATCAGTTCAACTAGTAGACTTCATTCATATAATTATATATATTAGAATGTTGAAAAAATAAATCTGATCAAATCTATTCAATGATACAATATGTTTTAGATTTAACATTATTTGTAATGA